AACATCGCGGGGGAACAAAAGGCCCGAAGGAGCCCAGTCATTCATCGCCAGGGGAAGAGCAACACAGCTCCCTGAGCGCTTATCTGTCGACAGCACTGAGTGCTCAGCCGTTCCCCAGACAGTATGACGTCTCTTTGCTCGCTTCTGTGCAGCATCTTTCTGCGTCCAGGTGTTTACTTCCTCCCAGTTTGCATCTTTGTAATCTGGGGGCGTTTCAGTCAGCCGACTGTTATCGGTGGCTTCTGTCTTTGCTACTCGTTCCCCATCTTTCGTTACTTTGTAGCTCAGTCGTTCCACGTGCCTGTGAGTCACTGAATGTCTCCTCCCGTTCAGACTAATGCCTCAGCAGGAACCTCACGTGGAACGTGCGTGAATAACAAGCAGTTTAGTTAAGTTAGTTAATAACAAGCTGCCAGTTGATTCTACCTTTTTTGTAGTCCCAGTAGTCCCAGCCGACGGGATGATGTCTCCATCGAACCCCCCCGGCTACCATACATAGTCTGTATGGAGGGAAGAACATGAATAACTAGCAGCAGCACCTGAAATGAAATACTGAAATCTCCTTTTGTTTTAATATTGTCTGCTGTGTGTCTCTAAAGACACTTATGTTTAAATAAAGTCAGTGAGGAACTTAAACAGGTTCTGAATCAGTCTCAGTCCTCCACAGACCTCCATCAGAGGGCGTGGTTCTTAATGATGTCATCGGTGCCGCCCGGGTGCATTCTGGTGAACCCAGATGACCTCGTGCAGGTCCACCAGAACCTCCTTCGGTGTTCCTCTGTTCATTACGACGTAGAAGACCGCCATGTGTTCCCTCCCCAGGTGGAGAACATCTTGCTGAACGACCAGGGGAACTACGTGCTGTGTGACTTCGGCAGCTCCACCCACAAGACTCTGCTGCCCCACAAAGACGGAGTGACCGCCGTGGAGGACGAGATAAAGAAGTATATACACACACACACACACACACACACACGTCTGTCAAACACGCCGCAGCGTGTGGTTGGCGGTGGATGTGGGGACCCGCCGTGGTCAAAGCCCCGCCCCCCCCCCCCCCCCCATCACATCCGATTCCTCCTGTGAGCTTTGTTTACAGCTGGAGTGTAAATGTCGCCTCGTGCTTCGTCGACTCGTGACTTTGTTCCAGAAGCAACCAGCTGCTTCGGTTGTTGTCGGACTGACGAAACAAAAACCTTCGCTGTCTGACGGAACGAAGCAACGTTTCCTGAAGAAGAATATGAATTTATTATTGATCGATAATGCTGTGGTAACATAAAATAAATGCTTTATGTAAAAGCAGCATTTTAATGTGTATTATTTACCAGTTCATCATTATTTAGAATTTGTCAGATGTTTTGTCCATAAAATAATCTGGCAAAGTCTGCGTCTTCCTCGAAGACACGAGACGACATCAGGAGCGTTGATACTCTTATTCTGAAAAGCATTCAGCACTTGGATATCTTGGATAAATGTACCACTTTGTTGCGTAGTCATCTGAACTTTGACCTTCCGCTGACCGACGTCCTGTTTTTGTGTCTCAGGTACACGACTCTTTCATATCGGGCGCCAGAGATGATCAACTTGTACGCAGGGAAAGCCATCACCACTAAGGCGGATATATGGGTGAGCGAGATGCACCCTGCAGGGCGGTTTGCTCTGGCGTGTCCCCCCAACAGGTCCCTCCCCCCCTCCCCGACCCTCCCCCTTCCCCCGGGCTGTTTGCCTTCACCAGCTCTCCAACAGCTCTTCTCCCTCATAAACTATTGAACAGCGTCGTCGCTCCGCCTGTTCCTCTCGAGATCGGGGGCTTGGACGGCAGCCACTCCAGGGAGGGGGGGGGGGGTCTGTAATCCCAGCATCCAGGAGATAAAACCTCCAGCATGTTAATATGCAAGGACGCATGTGCCTTTTAGATTTTATTGTTCAGTTTAAATCAAGATCAAAAACGGTTCCTGATCTTTTAACCAAAACTAACAGATACTTTAAATTGTTTAAACGGTTCTCAGTGAAGTTTTCTCAACGTTAACTTGATGATGTAGCGAAGACAATTTATCTGGAACATCAACACTTCTTTGCAAAGTGTTTTTCTGATCTTTTAAGTGTGATTAATATTTCCTCTTTATGGATTTCCTTCGTGCAGAAAACACTTCACTTCCCTCCGATCTGCAAGGGGGAGAAATGAGGCAGACGAGTTGATCACTGACATCGTCTGTTTGTTTCTCTTCTGCCGCCGACCGTAACCTCTCAAATATGAGATATCTGACGTGATAGTCGTGAGTAGTAGGAAGCTTTCGTCAGCAGGAAGTTTCTGTTGGATGTTCAATAAAAAAACCCCACTTCCTGTGGACTGCCCCCCTGCGTTCTCACTTCCTGTTCTATGTCTGCAAAGCTCCTCATGCATCCTGTGCAGTAGTCCAATGCATTTTGGGAGTTTGTCAGATTATAGGCTGTCTGACTCGGATTAGGAGATTTAGCATCAGACGGGATTAGCTCGTTGGGAACAACTGAAGACTGCCCGCCTTTTTAAAGGAAGAAAAACAAACAAACGTCTAAACAAACGCAGCGGCTAATTCCGACTCTCCTCTGAACCGCATCATTAGCCAAAAGATGCCGTGATGAGCGTGTGCAATAGGCTTAGTAAATATAGATTTATTGATTGGTGAATCCTTTCAACCAATATTCATGTTGTGGAAATCTGAGCGCTTGAGTTTTATCTTCAGACCAGAGGTCCCGAGGTGTTAAGGACTCTTCTCTCCACAGGCTCTTGGCTGCTTGTTGTACAAGCTGTGCTTCTTCGCCCTTCCATTCGGAGAGAGTCAAGTGGCCATATGTGACGGGACCTTCATCGTTCCAGACAACTCCAAATTCTCCTCCAAGCTGCACTGTTTGATCAGTAAGTTTGAGACGTCATTCATGACGTCTGCATGTTTATTCCTTCACTGTTCAGTAAACACTGGTTTTATTTTGTGCTTTTTTTCGCCTCTTTGAGTTTGGTTCTGAAGGAGAGCTTTAGAGAAGCTTTACCTCATGATGCAGTTTGCCTGCAGGCTTTACTACACAACAATGAAGTGATGAAGCTTTGATAATTAATATTCTTCACCGAGTGGCTGCTGGTTTCACAGCCGGCCTCAACGGCGTCCACTTCCCCAAATGCATCCAGCAGCTCCCCTGTTTGAGAGAAGACTGTCTGACCAACGGCTCCACCTAGTGGCCAAAGGGAGCACCCATCACAGTAAATCATCGCGTCTGTTTCTGCAGGGTACCTGCTCGACCCGGAGCCGGAGAACAGACCCGACATTTACCAAGTGTCCTACTTTGCCTTCCAACTAGCTGGGAAAGACTGTCCGGTGCCAAATCTCTTTGTGAGTCCCTGGGAGGAAGTGATCAGCACAAACATTTGCTCATTGATATATTTCAAAACAATATCCGTTTCCTCCAGAACTCCCCCATCCCCACGTCTCTTCCAGAGCCTCTGACCGCGAGTGAGGTCGCTGCTCGGAGAAGCATAACGAAGGCCAGGTACTTGTAACGCCACTTATCTGTAGCAAATTGTGTGGAGGCTCATGATTCATTTGTACAACTACCTCTTGTTTTCAGGATAACGGACGACGTCGGCCCGACGGAGACCTCCATCGCCCCCCGCCAGAGGCCCAAAGCGGCCAACAGCAACGTCCTGCCGCTCGCCAACACAGTCACCCCCGCCAACATGACCGGGCCCTCGGCCCCCGTCAGCAACGGACAGAGAGGTTCGTCCAACCGTATTCATAGTTAATAAATACTTGTAGATGTATGTGTCACCTTGAGGGCGTTTTTTATTTTAATTTTATTATCTGTAAATCAAAAGGTCCCCTGAGTTTCCCCACAGAAGTTCTGCTTTTTATTCTTGAAACGTTTACTTCCTTCAGCCAACTCACAGCCTGCAGTGTGTCCCCCTGGTCAGGTTAAATTATATATGACGTTTGTAGCGTGTAGTTTGTATTTATTCTTCTGTTGCGGCTGGAAATACAGATTAACTGGAGATTTACCCCTGTGCTGCTCCCGTATTCGTGGAAGCGTTGCACTTCCCCTGTTGCCCTCAGGGGGTCTCCATATGTTCTAAGTAAATCAGTCTCTCCACTCGTCATCTCAGCGCCGACCCCCGGCTCCGGGACGCCGTCCGTGCAGCCGCAGCCCGGCAGTCAGCAGCACAGAGTCCTGCAGCAGCTGCAGCCTGGTGACCTGCGTCTCCAGCAGCTACAGCAGCAGCAGCAGCAGCAGCAGCAAGCGGCTGTGCAGCAGCAACATGCAAACGCACAGCAACTTCAATACCTCCAGGTACTCCACCACACCGACCGCTGGAAGAGTCGCTAGGAGGAAAGTCAGAGGGTTGTGACCTTAAACCCAGGTTACCATGGGGCCCTATTTATGTAACATAGTGGTATCAGGTACAGGCGCGACATATAGCGGAGAACTGTGCAGAGAAATTACTAATGTGTCAAACGGAAGGGGGGTGAGTGGCAAACGGACCACTTAAAGCACTGCTAGGCTAAGCTAGCTGCTAGGCTACTTCCATCTCAACATCTAACGTGGCGCGGCACACGGTCTTCAGAGGACCACCACTGTGTCCCTAAAAGATGGTGGTTTGAAAACCTTCTGGCTAAATGTGGGGAGATTGTTGGCTCTTCAAATGCAGCCGTTAAATGATGGCGAGTTGAGAGCAAAGTGCACAAAGAGTCACTAGTTCAACATGTTCCACCTGATGGAATTCTTTCTCCAAGATGATCATATGTTTAAAATAACATTAACAATTCAAATACGCGCTTTTTAAAGTGACAACTCATTATTTGTAAGATTTAGTCTGTAGAAGAAAAACAATCATTAACAATATTCATTGGGTGCGATTAATTGCGATTAATGAATTTCAAATTGCGATTAAAAAAATTAATCTACAAATATTTTCACAAAAGCAAATAGTTGGAAATTTTGAGAGCGAGAGAAGGCGGAAACCTCAAGCACAACCCGCTGAGTCGCAAGGGATGCTGGGATTGGTCCTAAATGTTCCTCACCTTTACTTACTTCCTCAGTACCAACAGGCTGTGCAGCAGTCCCTGCAGCTTCAGCAGCAGCAGCATCATCAGGCTCTTCAGCAACAGCATCATCAGGCTCTTCAGCAGCAGCATCACCAGGCTCTTCAGCAGCAGCATCATCAGGCCCTTCAGCAGCATCAGGCTCTGCAGCAGCAGCAGCATCATCAGGCTCTTCAGCAGCAGCATCACGAAGCCCTGCAGCAGCAGCATCATCAGGCTCAGCAGCAGCAGCTGATGATGCATCCGTTGTACCAGCAGCAGGTCGCCCAAGCTCAGTACGCCGCCATGGTGAGTTGTGTCAGACATCGGCCGTCGATCTGATTCACTTCTGCTTGCGTTAAAGCACATTCCAAAGAATCTTCCAGCTCAAAGGAATCACGACAGACCTTCAGAGCAGAAGATTTCAGTCCAAAACCGTAATAAATAGTTTGAGCAAATGACAGCGAAACACATGGAGGCCCAGCATGAAGCAACACGCAGCAGAGTGTTTCGTTTAATGTCAGAACGGCTCCTAAAAACGTCCCTCTCCATTCCAAACACTGGCAGCCGAGTGGCTCCTCAGTCTGTGCCAAGCAGACGCACCAGAAACTTCCTGCCGACTCTGTCCAAACATTCAAAAAACTCGTATTTACGCACATAGCGACTCAAACACACAAACACGGGTCCTCCAAAGGCGCTCTGCGAATTTTAGTTTTGCTTCCCAGCATCTGTTTTTACTTCAGCGGCAATCTAGATCGTAGCGAAGCCCATCGAGGAGCCCGGAAACCGAGGGTGAAGCG